AAAGTAGCTAAAATCCCCTTTAACTCTTTCAACAAATTTCAGCTCTCCATCCATGAGACAGACGACCCCAATGACAAACGCTTCCTCACGGCGATGGAAGGGGCCACTGAGAGGATCCTAGAGAAGGGCAGCACCATCATCATCAATGGCCAAGAGCGGCAGCTGGAAGAGCTCGGAGGCCAGGGTGAGCATGTGCTGGGTTTCTGTTATCTCTACCTGCCAGCAGATGAGTTTCCAGAAACCTATTCATTTGAGAAGGACACCATAAACTTTCCTACCTCAAACCTGTTTGTGGGGCTCTTGTTGACTGACCCTTCCTCGGTTCACTGTACCTGATGCAGTTACCAAATGCCGGAGTATTGGAATCAAGGTTATGATGGTGACGGGTGATCATCCCATCACAGCCAAAGCTATTGCCAGGAGTGTAGGTATCATTTCAGCAAACAGTGAGACAGTGGATGACACTGTAAAACGTCTCAACATTACTACGTGGCAAGTTAACAAAAGTGACACTAAAGCCGCCATGGTGACTGGCATGGAGCTGAAGGACATGAGCCCAGAACAGCTAGATGAGCCCCTAGCCAAACACTCGGAAATTGTCTTTGCCTGGATGACCCCCCAGCAGAAGCTGATTACCGTGGAGGGCTGTCAGAGACTGGGTATGGAGGTTGCTGTGACAGAGGATGGAGTTATTGACTCTCCAGCTCTAAAGGCAGCACATACTGGAACTGCCATGGCCGCTGCAGGTTCTGATGCAGCCAAAAATGCAACCGACATGGTTTTACTAGGTAACTTTGCCTCCAGAGTCACAGGGGTGGAAGAAGGCTGCCTGATCTTTGACATTGTAAAGAAGGGTACTGCTTATACTTTAAGAACATGGCTCTGCTTTGCTCCTATCTGATCTACATTATTGTTGGGCTCCCCGTTGTCACTGGGGCCACTGCCACCTGTTTCACCGACTTGGGCACAGACATCATTCCCTCCACTGCCTTGGCTTACGGGAAAGCTGAAAGTGACATAATGAACAGGAAGCCTTGCCACAAGGAGGACAGACTGGTGAACATGCCACTCATCCTCTGTTCTCTCCTGCACACTGATGTCACACAAACCCTGAGAGCTTTCATTTATTGTTTCAGTGTTTACGTACAGGTGGGGTTTAGACCCAGCACTCCCATTGACCTCCAGGTGGAATGGGAAAAGGACAACGGGAATGACTTGGAAGACAGCGATGGACGAGAATGGACGAGGCACCAGAGGCAGTGCCTAGAATGGACAGGCTACACAGCCTTCTTCATTGCCACTGTAGCCCAGCAAACAGCAGGTATGATCACCAGGAAAACCTGGAGAAACTCCATTTTCCAGTAGGATCTCTTCAGAAACAGTCATCTGGGTAGGGACTGCCTCACAGATCATCATAGTGTTAATCCTCTCCTACAGCCTTGGGAGCGTCACAGCCCAGATTTTCACTCTGCTCTGGGCTCAGTACTGGTTTGTGGCTGTGCCATATGGTACTGATTTCAGTATACAATGAGGTGCGAAACTTTTCATGAGGCTTTATCCTGGAGGTTGGTGGGATAAGAACGTGTATTATTAAGACCACCTTATTTCCCAAGTCTTCCAACTGCACATTGATGATGTTCTTCATCTTTTGGCCACGAGCTGGAAGATCCTGTGGGTAACTGGGGACACCATCAAAATTCATACAAGAGAAGGAAGAAAACCACTTGGTTTTCGGTACTGTGGCAGGATCCAGAAGCACTACTCAGCCTGTATCGAGCCTGTGTCCAAGGACTCAGAATGCCAGGTGCCAGCTAGGGTCTTTTGTGCCCCCTCCACCTCCTCGGTTCCTAGAGGTCGACAGGGAATAAAAACTTAAATACACCTATCAACACCTATCACAATTAAAGAAGGTTGCGGCCCTGAAGTGGACTGTGCAACCCAATGACGAACGCAAATTAAAATTTAAAAAAAGCACCAGGACGAGAAGCAGCTGACAGCTGAGCCAGGCATGCCTACCAGAGTGTCTCCCTCTAAAGCTTGGTGAAGCTAGGGAAAACTCTGCAGAAGATGAGTTACTCTTTTGTGGGTGGGTGACATGAGACCAGCTCACCCAGAAGAAAAGACCTCTACTATGTCAAGCTATACCCTCTGAACCAATAAGGTTCCCCGCCCCCAACCCTGGAAGATCCCACCTCCCACTTCCCTAATCGGAGATGCACCAATCAAGAATAACCAGTGACTGACGCCTGCTGTATCTGGAGCGCTAGTGGCACAGTGGTTAAAGCAATCAACTGCTAACCAAAAGGTTGGTGGTTCGAAACCACCAGCAGCTCTGTGGGAGAAAGATGTGGCAGTCTGCTTCCACAGAGATTTACAGCCTTGAAGACCCTATGGGGTTGCTATGAGTTGATGGCAATGGGTTTGGCGTTTTGTTTTTGCTTTGTTTGACAGCAGTATAATTATCCCCGATTCAGATTTCCTCTTTGGACACCACTGCCCCATCTTAATGCGTTGGGCTGTTCCCAGTTCAAACTGTAATCTCTGCTTGGAATAAACCTATGTGATTTTTATCTTTAAAAAAACAAAGAAGTTACCTAACCTCTTATCCAGAGTCAGAGCTATTATTTATTAAAAACTATTTAACATGATTACAGAAGTTCCCCTCGCTCCTTCCTTTTACCCAAACTCTCAGGGAACAGACCTGGGGTCTTTATTCTTTACTTTAATCAACACATTCAATCCAAAATTAATAACTAAATACTAGCAGAAAACATTGTAGGTGGTAAAAAACAAAAGATTGTAATATCTGGAAATAGAGTAGGGAAAACAAACAAACACGATGCAGATTTTAACTAGATTTGCTTAAAAATGAGTGAGGAAAATTTAATTTATGCTATAACTTGCCTCCAGATACAAAAATTGAAACCAGTGACTATGATACCAAAAAAAAATCTTTCATCTTATAAAAACTAGTTGTGTCCCAGTAAGCCTAAAAACAAAACAAATAGCTCATTAATACGGGACCTACTCAGGAATAAAACCTTGGCTCCAGATGGGCTTTCCGTGAAAGACTGATGGGGGAGAGAAGACCTAGCTGGACTCTCCCTCCAGGAAGCGAATAAAATCACACGAGATTGGAGGTAATGTCTTACTCTGGTCACACCAAAGCCAAACCCACTGCTGTCGAGTTGATTCCATCTCACAGCGACCCTAGAGGACAGAGCAGAACTGCCCCACGGGGTTTCCAAGGCTGTAATCTTTACTGAAGCCGACTGCCACATCCTTCTCCCGAGGAGCGGCTGGTGGGTTCAAACCACAGACCTTCTGGTTAGTAGCCGAGTGCTTACCCGCTGCACCACCAGGCCTCTTTCTCTAGTCAGACAGAGGACCAAAATTTGTATCTGGTCTCACAGAGTTTTACTGACCAGTCCTTCAGGGAACCGCCAGAAGGTTGCCAAATCTGTTTTTAACCGATAGCGTTAAATACATTTACCCTCTTGTCTAGACTCAGGAGCCCTGGTGGCGCAGTGGTTAAGTGTTTGGCTGCTAACCAAAAGGCTGGCAGTTCAAATCCACCGGCTGCTCCTTGGAAATGCTATGGGGCAGTTCTACCCTGTCCTATAGAGTCACTATGAGTAGGAATGGACTTGACTGGCAATGGGGTTTGGTCTACACTCAAGGCCTGAAGAAAAAACCAAAATTACTTTGATAGGGTGCTCTTTTCCAGCATCTTGCCTATTTCAGGCAATTGGTACTCAGCAGATCCAGCATATCACTTTTGGAGGTTGAGTCTCAACCTGAGAAGTCCTGTTTACTTTCTTCCCTTTTTAGGGGCAGGAGGAAAAGTGTAACCTGACCGTACAAATGCCAGTAAATTCCCATTAGTCCTTAAACTCGCCCAAGCCAGATTCGGCCTGCCCCACATGCGCAGAAGGGCCAGCTGTGACCACTAATTGGCTTCAACAGAAGACGCAGCAACAAATAGAATGAATCAGAGGGAAAATCAACACCCTGATCCTATTCCAAAGTAAGAGGTCCAACAAGAACCATGTCACCTCCTGCTTCCTGACCCCCTTCTAGAATCCCCCCCACCCCTGAATGCCTGCACAGCCGCCATCTTGTGCCCAAATCACATATAAGCCCTGCTTCCGCATAGCTAAGGAAGCCAGATCTGAGGCACTTCCTCCCGGCTCCCTGTTCTGTGAAGTGCAATAAAGTTACTTTCTCTTTCTCAGAGACTGGTGTCCACATAATTGGCAAGTCTGAGAGTGCCGGACAAGGGCCCACCTTTTAGGGTTCGGTAACAAAAGGGTTGAGTTTAAGGTTTTTCTGTTTGTTTTCAAATCTAAGGTTCCTTCCTCCAACTCGCTGGATAAAAATCAGTTTGTTTGTTTGTTTTTTTTTTTTTTACCATAGACTGTAAATAAAATCTTTTACCTGGGAAACATTAGGGTGGCATTATATAACCCCCTTTGTATATACCAAAGGAAATGAAACTAGCTCCATCTCATAAAGGAGAATATTTTGCTTAAATAATCCTCAAATACATGAGCCTCAAACTGCTACCTTCCTACATTAAAAGATGGTTTACTCTGGGCATCTAGAAAACGCAGGACTTCTCTTCTCTCCCGGTTACTTCACATATTTTTTTTATATGGTCTCTAAAGCACAAAGCTGGTCTTCACTATTAACGCATGCTGGTGATATAAGGAGGAGAAAGAATTCCTGCCCTGAGACATTCACACTTCAGTTGCTGTTAGATGCTGTCGAGTCACTTCCGGGTCATAGTGGTGGATGTGAACTACCGACATTTTGGTTAGCAGCTGAGCTCTTAACCACTACGCCACCAGGGCTTCCACTCCAGTAGGTAAGGTAAACACCAAAGCAACCAATTATATGGCAATGCAAAGACCTATAAATGCTTCTTGGTCAATGCAACAGATGGGAGAAGCTAGAACTTTAGAAGTTTATTTCTCAGATGGTACACAGTTGAAAACCACCTCATTAAAATACAAACAGCTTTTCTTCTGCCTTCACATCAGTCAATACTGAGTATCCACCGTGTGCTTGGTCCTGGGGATGCAACCGTCAAGACAAACTTAGTAGCTGTTCTCGTGGAGCTTCCTGTGTGGTAAGAAGGTCTTCTCTTGACAGGAAGGAGTCTTTGTTTGCTCTTCTCTGGTAGCCTTTCCACTGTTTAAGGACTCTGTAGGTGTTAAAGGTTTTGGGAAACGGAAATAAATCTAGACCCATGAGCAAGAGCAATAATTTGATCTGCTCTCCAACATTGTCCGCCTATAACTCCACCTTTTCTTGCCACAATTCCAGCTTAAGGGACGTAGAAATCACAGAATTTTAGAACTGAAGGGGACCACAGAAATGATCTAAGTCCATTAGTAATGCTGCAGCTCGGGACACTGAGGCCTAGGGAGATAAAAGATTTCCCTAATGTCACACAGCTAGTTAGCGATTTCTACACAATGTGGCATGCGAGGGAAATAAGTCTGTTTTGAAAGCCAGTCATGACTGCACCTCTTTAGGGTGCCAAAAAGACTAACAGCATTTTTCAGAAACTTTAGGATCAAGATAAATGGACAGTGACATGTTGGCAGCTCTGCAGTCAAACCCCCCTCAACCCCAACCCTCTACCCTAGGTTGGGTTCCACTGTTACAGAACACATGCCATGCTTGTAATTCTTGATTCAGGGAGGCTGTGACTGCCTGGGAATGAACTGAGGGTATCACAATGGTTAAAAGAGCTAGGCTGCTAACAGAGGCGCGGGGTGGGGGACGGGGCGCCAGATGAGGCGCGGAATTCCGAAGTGGTACAAACCTGAAAGGCACCTGACTGAGGAAGCAGGACAAGAGGAGAGGGGGCGTTTCTGCTAACGCAACGCTGCTGTCAACTTCTATTCATCTTGAAACTGGGGGACCCTAGGACACCCCCCGCCAACTTAGAGATTGCCCCTGGGTGCTTGAATTGGGGGTGCAGTGCAATTTACAGATTGCCCCTGGGCCCTCGTCACCCTCACTAGGCCTCTGGCTGCTAACGAAAAAGTTGGTGGTTCGAACCCACCAGGCAGACTCCACAGGAGAAAAGACCTGGAGATCTGCTCCCGTAAAGATTACAGCCAGGGCTTTGAACTGGGCTGTTGGAAGCCCTGCCAACAATCTGCATTTCTAACAAGTTACCAGGTGATGTTAACACTGCTGGTTAGGGACCAATTCTGAGAACCACTAGTAGAGCAGTGGTTCTCAAAATTTATTATACGTAAGAATCACCTAGGGATCTTGTTAAACTGTAGATTCTGATTCAGTATATCTGGGGTGGAAATTTACAGCCTAGGAAATCCTATGGGGCAGTTCTACTCTGTCATATAGGGTCGCTATGAGTCGGAATCGACTCCCTGGCACACAGCAACAAAACAGTGGGTGGTGGGGAAGCCAGTTTGGAGGTTAGTCCAGGTGATGGAGAGAAGTAGATGGATTTTAGATTGTTAATAGGTAGAATCCACACAACTTAGCAATTATTTTATACCAAGGTAGAGGGGGGAGTCAAGCAGTTGGCTAGCAGGTGTCTAGTTTGAACACCTGGTAGATGGTGTTTGAGATAGAGAATATTAATGATATGGTGGTGGGATGGCAAGAAGATGAACGTCGATGACCAGGATAAATCTGTTGGGGGATTTCTATTTGAACCAGAAGCTAAATTTCACTAACTCCTCTTCAGATATTACAAACCAAGTTTCTGCTAACTGAGTTATCAGCTATCTCAGAGACTGATTATCTACTTGATTAAGGATGGTTTTATTTATTATTTATGATTTACATATCCTTTCACACTGTTATAAGTTTTTCTTAAAAAAAGAAATAAAGTGTGAAATAATATGATGGAGACAGAGACCACTGTATAGTACTGAATGCTAGCTCGTGTTTGATTTCATTAGAATTGAATGGGAAGGAAGAAGAGATGACCAGAACTTAAGACCATATTTTTTTAAGACCACACACATGTGGACCATCTCTGAGAGAGAAATGCAAAACCTAAATGGTTTTCAGAAAAAGGTAACTCTGAAATTTCCTGACATTTGTATTAAACAGTTGCTAACAACCATCTGGTATCTGACTGAGGCTTATTTTTAAATTATTTCATAAACATATTTCGGAGTCAAATCACATTGTGAGCTCCATGAAGGCAAGAATAACTCAGTCATTATGTAATAACCAGAACCAACAAAGTACTAAAACCAGGCCATATGCTTGCTGATTTGAAGCAGCTCATTCGATCTTCTCATCCTTGCTACATTTCCTTTCAAATCAATATGTTGTCTGTCTTTCACGCCCCCTTTTCTGGCCACGATTCATGCTTAAGGGGCACAGGAATCACAGAAATCAAACCCCACGATGATGATCTATGTATTAAGGAATGAAACTGGAAAAACAAGCAAAACCCCAATCTATTATTCTGACGACTGTAAACAGCATAACTAAACAAAAAGCTGGGGAAAATAAAAAGCAAACTGATTATCTGATGGTGGTTCTCCGTCTTAAAAAGGATCAAAGAGCCCCAACAGACTGGGGGTCCCCGGCACCAGAGCATTCCCTCTGGGTTAGGGTTACCAGCTCCTGGGGGTAAGGCTGCCCCAGGACAGGCTCTGACCGCGGCCCCTCGGCCACACCCCCTCAACTCGCCCAGGGGCTCCTCGGTCGCTTTCCTCCCCCTCGACCCTGCGTTTCGGCCTCCATGTCGCCAGGTGGCCCCAGACCCAGCCTGTCCCACTCCCCAGACCTCCGCTCCCGGGCCCCGCTTTTACCGGTCCTCGAGTCCGCCGTCGCGCGCTCCGCCTCGCACCTCGCCCAGCTGCAGTCACCTCCTCCCACGAACACTGCGACTCCGGGCCCCGCCGGCCTCGCTCCAGCCGCCACTTCCCGCCCTCGCCACCCGCCCGCACCTATCAACGCCCTGCTCACGGTCCAACCAATCGCGTTCCCCGCCGCAACCAATCCATCCACGCGCTGCCCTGAGCGACGCAGCCGCTGCGTACTGATACCCAATTACCGCACGGCGTTCAAAGCCCGCCCACCATGCCAGCCAATAGGATTCAGGGAAAGCGGGCATTGTTATTTGGGACGGCACCTGCTGAGAATTAAACAGCCAATTAGAGGCTGCAAGGAGCCCTGGCAGCTCATCTCTAGGCCAATGACCGAGGAGGTTTCCACCCCCTAAACCCTGGGGGAGAAACCGGCGCTCCTAAGGCTGGGAACTAGGTGCGAGGGTGTGAAATGACTCCTGCGTGTCACAGATCGCAGAAAGTCAGCGCCTTTCTCCCAAGTTAGTGCCACTCCCCAACCCGTGACCATCGCGATAGCAGCGTCCTGTGGCACGATGCTCCGCCACTTGTTTCCTCTTGCCATCTTTTGCCTCGATTGGTCCCCCAGCTTGTGACAGGGACTCAGGAGATATGGGAAACATTGTCTTTGTTTGAAAACATGAAATATGCTTTGTAGCTGGAGAGCGGGCCGCGGGGAAGGAGCTGCGCCGTCGACACCGAGCATCCGCTCTCGTATTCCTCTGCCAGGAACAGCCAGGCGGTGTGGACCTTCGCAGCAGGAGGGATGGAGATGAGACCCGGTCCCCACGGCCCCGTGTGAGGGGTGGCGCGTCGCGCGGGCGCCGGGGCCCACCCTGCCCTGGGGAGCGAGGGAATCCGGTCCCGGCGGCGGGCGCCGAGGTCCGAGCCTGTGGGGGCGACCAAGGGGCTGGGTTTTGGCCGGCGGCGGTTTGCTGTAAAAGGCGGAATTCCAGCCGCCGTCTGGTCCCTGGACGGTTAAGAACGGTTGGGCCCTGCTGCTGCGGCCTCTGTGCCCGGGAGCCTCGCGAGCCGGCCCTGCGCCCGCCCCCACCGGCACCCCCACCCCGTCCCGGCGCCGAGCTACGGGGTGGGCGCTCCTTGTAATCTGGCAATCTCTGTGCACCTAATGGGCGCATTCAGCGTTGGCTGAATGAAGACGAGATCGCATCTTGGGTCCGTTAGGGACATGTCTTTGGGCCTCAGTATTTCGTTTTCTATTAGTTTTTAAAAATGCGTGTATTTGAATAGGTAATACATGCGCATTGCACAAGCTGCGAAAAGAAAAAAGGTGAATAAGTCTCTTCTTTTCCTTTTCCACCAGCCACTGGTTCACCTCCACAGAGGCAACCAGTTTTACCAGTTTCTTGTGAATTTTTCGCAAGGTATTCTATAGTTAACAAGTATGTTTGTATATATATGTATATATACTTTTTTTCTTAATTGATAACAAATTATACCTACTATTTTGGAGCTCCGTTTTATATGCTCTAGAAATCTTCCCGCAGCAGCACTATGTATCTGCCTCATAGTGATAGTTTTATAGTATGCCTGAGGGATATTTTAAGATACCTTTCACCAGCCTTCTCGCATTATATTGATATGCAAGCACACTTCATTTTGTTCCTCTATGAGTATATCTGTGTGATAAATACTTAGGATTGTAAATACTAGATCAAAGAAGTTGTATGCATTTTTTTTTAAATTTAGATAGATACAATTTTGCAAATTACCTTCCTCCTACAGAGATTTTTCTAATTTTCTTTCCCACCAGTGATATTTGAAGAGGATTTTGGTTACCATAGTATTACCAAATTGCCTTTCTCAGAAGTTTTATCAATTTTCTCTTCCGTCAGCAATGTATGAAAAGGACCTGTTTGATAACACACATTATGTTATCAATCTTTTTTATTTTTGACAGTTTAATAGTATAAATGGTATCTCCTTGTAATTTTCATTTTCATTTCTTTTAATTAAGATTGAGCATCTTTTAATATGTTTAAGTGGCAATTGTATTTTATTTTCCTGTAAATTGTTCATATCCCTTGTTCATATTTTTATGGGTTATTGAGTCTTATATTTGTTTTTTGTTCATATATAAGTTAAAAATATTTTCCCAATCTGTCATATATCTTTTTACAGATTTTTAAAATTTTTATGTGGTTGAATATATTAGCATTTTCTTTGATAACTTCTGGGTTTCATATCATATTTAGAAAGATTATTTCTCAGCTTATTAACAAATTCTCCTATGTTTCTTCAAATACTTTTATAGTGTCTTTTTATCTATGTAAATATTTGAGTCCTCTGGAATGTATTTCGGTGTAATATGTGAGATAGAGATCCAACTTTATTTTGTTTCGTTTTGTTTTACTCAGCTCTATGTATTGAAAACCCGTATCTCCCCCTTTGGTTTTGAATGCTATCTTTATAATACCCAAAATTGCCATGAGTATTTGGGTCTGTTTCTGGATTTTTCATTTTATTCCAGTGAGTTGTCTATCCCTATTTTAGTGCCATACTGTTTTTTCAAATTGATATATAATAAAATGTGCAAGAAAGGAGCCCTGGTGGCGCAGTGTTTAAGAGCTCAGCTGCTGACCAAAAGGTCAGCAGTTCGAATCCACCAGCGCTCCTTGGAAACCCTGTGGGGCAATTCTACTATAGGGTTGCTATGAGTTGGAATCGACTCAATGGCAAGGGGTTTGGTTTGGTTTATAATATATGTACAGAAAAGTGCACAAGTGTATATATTGATGAATTTTCAAAAACTGAATACATCTGTGTAGCCAGCGCTCAGATCAAGACACAGAACATTACCACTGCTCACAAGTCACCCTTGGGTCCCCTCCCAGTCACTGCTCCTCAAGGGTAACCACTCTTCTGATTCCTAATAGCACAGATTAATTTTTCCTGTTTATAGCT